CAGTCAATCACTTAATCAATCAGTCGATCAATCAACCAACCAATCAATCGATCGATCAATCAATACAAAAACATATCCGATATCTTCTCACCCGTCTCGCAATAATCAAACCATTTCTCAGAGCTTGCACAATCTCCACAAAGACTATTGCTTATGAATGTCACGAGCGTAAACTTTCTTTCCAAACTCTCACTCTTAAAATTCACTCATAGTTAATTATGACAAATAATTTTGACGGAGGATATTAAAGAAAGCTTAACTCAAACAGACTCGAGTGGCACTAACAAGATGAAGGACTCATTATCAGACTGACTTTGGTGGAAGATAACTGCGGTTTTCACAGAGGTTTTTATTCTGTGACGTGAAGATACAGCGGTTGCCATTGGTCAAATAACAAATGACTTGAATTAATTTCAAAAAAACTATTTGAACAAAAAACGCCTCAAGTTTATTCCCAGTCTTAACGTTCAATTTGAATGCTATGTGAAAAATGTAGTTATCCATTTACTATCTAGTAACTTGGTTACCTTCTCATTGTAAAGTCGCCCGGATGAATCAATAGACATGATCAAACTCGACATAATACCAATGAACACTGCATAGAAAGTGGCGCCTATGGTCATACTGCACAGCGTCAGCCAGACCTCTGGAATGGTCTGTGGGGGGTACCGTCCGTAACCAATACACAACATGTGCGACATGGCATTAAACAGGGCCCAGCTGTACTGACTGGCTGGAGACTTGTCCTAGAGAAGTGAATTTAAATGAGCTCAGTCACGGCATTTTGAGTCATTTTGACCACGTACAAAATTACCTTTAAATTAAAGAAAACCTGAAAATAGTAGTTTACTTAGATAGAAAAACACCAAAGAGATAATTTTAAACCGTAAAGGAACAAGGATGGTTAAGGATGGAGAAGATTGACACCGATTACAAATGACGAACTTGAAACAAAAAATAAAATAAAATATTTGTTATTCACGCAAAGCATTAAGAAACAACAAAGACGACTACTGAAATAGAATTGTGATTTCAATCCCAAATAGACAGAATAAAGGTTGCTAACCGCATATTCCCGGTGTTTGTTATTCTTATATAAGAATAGACCAGTTTACGGTTGCCTGTTTAGTGACCTGGCCTTTGAATGGCAGCGAGGCTGGAGATGACCTTGTTTTGATAAAGACCTCACTGTTTTTGTTGGCATTTAAATGAGAAAAGCAGAGAGGTCTGTACCAAAGCAAGGTCACCTCCTGCCTCGCTTGCAGTCATAAGCCAGGTAACTAAGCACACGTGCACAACTGCAAAATGGCCTATTGTTGCTGGCTGGTTTTCACTTAAGCTTGATTTTCACTACGACACAAGCACAAGCATAACCAAACGGTAGTAAACATGAGCAAATGATACCCCACTGAGACAAGCAGAACAAACGTTTTGTCCTTATTATGCTAGCTAGTTCTTACGATTACGCGGAGTCTCAAAAACGCTGGCCTGATTAGAAAAAGAAACTAAATAATATAAATCCGAAGTGTGCGTAATTTCTATTCACTTCATATTTTCTTCGAGTTACGGAGCCGAAGAGAACCTACAATGCTAAATGGTTTGGCACAATTACAATATGGAGAAATCCCTACGTATAATTCTTTTAAAAGGAATCGCATATAGGGACTTGTCCACATCGTAATCTATTTTAATTCATCCACGCTACGTATGTCATTAACATTAACCAGTTTGTTTTTCAAGTGATTTCCAGTCATGCAATTCTCGCAGTTCTCGAGAACTGCTTTAAAAAAACACAAATTTTAAACCAGAACTGTTGACTTTCTTATGATAGCTTATGATTTAAGGATGTATGGTGTGAATAAGATTCCCCCGAACCACCAAATAGAAAACATTATACGGCTCTCCCGGCTCGCCGGTTTTCCTTTCTCCGCAAACTCTAACTCTTCCTAATTGCAATTCGATTTGGGAACAGTGTCTATTATTTATTTAGTTATAGTTCTGTTTGGGTTATGAAAAAATGTGATGGCGGCTACCTTCAATCCATTGATCACGACCCAACTGTTGTCTGGGAATTCCAGCAGATACGGGATAAGAAACTGAACACAGCCATTCCAGTGTGATAACAACAGCATACAACCAATCAGCTTGAGGATACGAAGCTGGCCACTGGCAATGTTAAGCAGCTGACACACAACAAAAAGCATGCGCATTATTATCCAACTCTATTCAGCTTATGTTCTGGATGTTTCCGAAGTTGCTAAATTTGTGTGATCCACTGAAAAATGTGTCGCGCTGTGCTTCATTTTCCTAAAAGTGATCATAATGAAAACTAGTTTTTGAACATGGTAAAATTTTAGCTTCCAAATATTTCTCATGCTGTTCTGTTATTTTCTTAACTGTAGGTTCCTTTAATTTTCGTTGGCCCAATTTTTCAAAGGTCATCAATTCACACTAACAAGCTGGGATACATAGTTAATGATAGCTGTTGTTTTATTTAGCGATTTTTACTCCTAGCTGATTTTAAGTTACAGTTTGACGTTTTAAAAGGTTGAAAACTGACAGGACAAAATCAACCAATCTTCTATGTAGCCATCTGCTATGTGCCCTACCTCTTCAAATCTTTTGATATATCGCACCAGTCTCGAAACACGCAGAAGTCGCAAAAGGCTCAACAACTTGGCAAGTTTGAGGATGCGAAGAGCCCGCGATGCCTTGATCAGCGTTTGCTCCGCCGACGAAGATGACACGATAAAGTACGCGTAATCAAACGGAAGTGACGAGAGCAAATCGATCAAAAACCAGCCTCGTAAGTACTTCCGGCGGATAACTTTCTTGTCCAGTATCACCTCCTCTTGATTGTTAGGATCGACAATTCCGGTTTTAAAATTCAAGCAAATGTCTATGAGGAAAATGCTATCGGAGATTCCATTTAGGATGAGCCAGTGCAGTGAAAGATCGTCACTCAAGAACGAAATGCTGACTGGGAGAAGAATCACATGCATGGAAATAAAACAGATTAGGAGGATATCCCAGTACCATCGAAATGTGCTGAAAGGATGAATCACTCCCTTGCCCTTCTGCTCTTGCCGGCGCTGTTCAATAAGAACGGCAGCTTTATTCCCGAACAGTTTCAGCGCCATCTTGTTGTCTGGATTAGCTGCGAAGATGTCTCTGAGGTATGTTAGAGCTCTGCCTCCTCTCGAGGCTGTAGACAGCGAAGACTGCAGGTTAGCATGTCTTGTTAGGGTTTCTACTGTTGATTGTTGGTCCTGGGACGGGCGGCCTCGCGCCTCGCCAGGTTCATTACCTCCGTGGAGACCTGCAAATATAAACGTCTTCAAATATCACAAAAATAACTGGTTAGATTATCACTGGTGCTGAAGAAAGCTGCCATTTTTTTTAACCAACCAAGCATTAGAGCAAATTGTTGGAAACTGAGTCTAAAAGTACAAAAAGCAAGATACGCGGCAACGCCTAATAAGGAAAACAGTTCTGCTAAGACTATCTAAAAGCGATGAGACAATATTTATAAGTTTTTCCTTTAAATAAGGAAGTTTTCTTTTGAGGAAAATATAACGGCAAGTCAGATGAAGATTAAAATAGTTTGCTTCTGGTTGTACAGTCCGCCGTGGACGCCAACTGTCGCCATTTGGCAACAACACTGAACAACAATCCTTGATTAAAACACAATTTGGTTTAAAGAAGCAGATTTGCTTGTGGGGTCGTGTATCAAGCTAAAAGTTTAAGAAACGGCAGAAATATGTACAGTGGCACTAACAATTCTATAATTGTTCATTCACAATAACAAACTCAAAAACTTCTAAAAATCCCTCACGTTCTTGCTCTGCGTTTGGCGACTAGACGAGCAGTTCCGTCTTAGCTCTCTTGAAGGGGAAAAAACTCGGAGAAGTTCTGACCTCAGTGTTGGTCTGTTATTTCTGGGCTAGTAGCAAGCCGGTAACAATGATGCTATTCCTTGAGGCAACTATTTTCGTCTTTTCATTGTACTTGAATTATTTCGTGGCGAAAACTCATTTCAAAGGAAAAAGTCCAGCGTTTTTTGCTTTCAGGGATGCCATGCCTGAAGTCTAAATCTGCGCATTAATTAATTGATGTTGTGCTGTAGAACACAAAAATAATACCTTTTCTGTTTTGTTTTGCACTCATATATTTTGTACGCGAATATAAGTGACACGCATGTAAGGTGCAGCACTTTTAATAGATAGACAGGGAGGCGTGATGGCCTCGTGGTTCGCGCTCGTCTCCGGATCGAGCGTTTCGGGTTCGAGTCCTTGCCGGGGACATTATGTTGTGTTCTTGGGCAAAACACTTTACTCTCGCAGTGCCTCTTTCCACCCAGATGTTAATGCTGGGGACTAATTTAACCCTGCGATAAACTAGCATCCCATACATGGAGGAGAAGAAATACTACTAGTCGCCTTATGCTACAGGAACTGAGATAAGCTCCGGCCTGATGGGCCACCTGCGGCTCGTATGCAGACGTAACCTACCTTTACCTATTTCTAATAAGTACGCATTTTATCATCTCACCTGGCTCAGGAAAAGAATGCCTCCTGCCTTTGGATAGTCTTCTTTTGTTGATAATGATAATCGGTTGTTCCACTCCCTTCTCTCTTTTATCCGCATCATGAATGGATTTTTCCGCATCACACGGGCACGGTTGTATCAAGCCACACGTTTTGCAACGAGTGTCATTAATGTCTTTTCGGTTGGACGCCATGTTTGTCGAAAGCTCTTCGCGTCAAAGAAGCTAAAACTACCTCGTCTTGGAATAGAGCGACATCATTTTTAAGTCACATCATAGTCGGCAACTTGCCCAGTTGCCAGGCTTAATTTTAACGAAAAAATTAAACTACATCGCGATCGACGGTAGGAATACTGAATAGTTCTTAAACGTCTAAGGGCTTCGCCAACAACGTGACTGATTGACTGTGACGTAAAGTAATCAACTCCTGTGATTCAGTTCTGCGCGCGCGATATTCAAGATAATTTTACATTGCATCGCTCGATTCGTGAAGCGAAGGTCAGCCGATTCGTGCTCGACNTCTCGCAGTGCCTCTTTCCACCCAGATGTTAATGCTGGGGACTAATTTAACCCTGCGATAAACTAGCATCCCATACATGGAGGAGAAGAAATACTACTAGTCGCCTTATGCTACAGGAACCGAGATAAGCTCCGGCCTGATGGGCCACTTGCGGCTCCTATGCAGACGTAACCTACCTTTACCTATTTCTAATAAATACGCATTTTATCGTCTCACCTGGCTCAGGAAAAGAATGCCTCCTGCCTTTGGACAGTCTTCTTTTGTTGATAATGATAATCGGTTGTTCTACTCCCTTCTCTCTTTTATCCGCATCATGAATGGATTTTTCCGCATCACACGGGCACGGTTGTATCAGGCCACACGTTTTGCAACGAGTGTCATTAATGTCTTTTCGGTTGGACGCCATGTTTGTCGAAAGCTCTTCGCGTCAAAGAAGCTAAAACTACCTCGTCTTGGAATAGAGCGACATCATTTTTAAGTCACATCATAGTCGGCAACTTGCCCAGTTGCCAGGCTTAATTTTAACGAAAAAATTAAACTACATCGCGATCGACGGTAGGAATACTGAATAGTTCTTAAACGTCTAAGGGCTTCGCCAACAACGTGACTGATTGACTGTGACGTAAAGTAATCAACTCCTGTGATTCAGTTCTGCGCGCGCGATATTCAAGATAATTTTACATTGCATCGCTCGATTCGTGAAGCGAAGGTCAGCCGATTCGTGCTCGACCAAACGAAACTTACTGAACTTTTCAAGTGTGTTTCTACATACGTAGCTTCCGAAGAAGACGTTCCACGAACGGGAATAGAAATCCAACTAGCTCAACCGCGCACACGTGAGCGCGAGAATAGAACGTTATTATATGTATTAACGCGTGAGCAGAACCAAACCAAATTAGTACAGAATATGGTCTCTTCACACTTCTGCAAAATCAGCTTGGAAGAACGCAAAAAGGCGTTTATTCCTCTTCGAATCACATTCGCGAGATGTGTTGGGATATGATGAATTACGGGTGTAGCCACACTTATCGTGTCCAGGCCACGTGTTCAAAAGAAACGTGGGTTCTGTTATCTATGCAATCGTTTTCTAAACTCGAATCAAGATCTCCCACGACCAAAAAGTGAGGTACGAGGTACGAGGTACGAGATTGCCCTACGAGATAAATCATTCTCGTCACCAGAGGCCGCGATGTTTTTGGTCAGCGCTTATCTTCTCCATCCTTAATCCTTGGTGGGTTATTATTAGTCAATGAAATCTGAGAAAATGCCAGGGATGGCCGAAGTCTACATTTTATATAATCGCTTAAGAAAGGCTTGAAAAACTCCGCAAACGTAACTGAATTCTTAACGACGTTTTGCGTTCATCAATATTTCTCAGGCTGTGTTTATTTCCCATTTCAATACGCAGAATGTTTGATAAGCTAGGTTAAGTCTGCATGCGAGCCAAGTGGCTCTTCAGGCCAGACAAAGAACACAACACAATGTCCTTGGCCAGGGCTCGAAACCGGACCGTACGATCCAGAGACGAACGCACTAACCATAAGGCCAGCTGCGCCTCCCACGATAAGTTTGAGATAAGATTCCTACAAAAAAGACGTAATCACATACGACTTAACTCATTTTATTACATGCTGCCACCATCACTCGTGTAAACGAATGAAACTATACAAAAATAATCTGACAGACTATAACAACTCTTCAATTTTACACACAGCCCGCCAGTTTACTAAGTTACCAAATGCTTCGTTTAAATCGGGATTTGAATGTGAAACATTTTCAGCTCCGAACAATGACTTTTCGTAGAATTGTAGCGCTCCTAATCTTTAAGAACTTTGAGTTTGTTCTTGGCTGCTTTGATAACAATTGAAATATTTATTCAACGTAGTCTCACAATTGGTTGGAAATACTCAACTTTCATCTTGTCTGAACACGAAGCATATATTTGGAATAGGTATTCCAAGCACTTAAAAAATGGACAACTTTATAAAATGTATTTTCCGTGATAGTCATATCTAAAGGCTACATCTCTGGTTGTCTGTGGTAGGCTCTCTTATTGCCTAATGATTGACGCATATATTTTATTTCTTACAAGCCTACGACGGAAACCATTTTGATACAGAAAATTATAAAGTCCATCAATTACTGTAACAGTGCTTGTCTTGGCGGCGTGTAAATGGCTTCCTCAAACGGCCTATTTACAAATTGGTAGTTTCTTCTTTTTTTCTCTCCACAGCTTTCACTTCATTGTTTGTACAGCGTTTACACATTTAGCCATGGTCTGCGAAGCACGGCTAATGGCGTCCGTCATGTAGAAATCCTTCAGTTCCAGAATACTTGGCTGCAGGGGTTGCTTCAACGATTGTGCTTTAGAGCCCTGAAGTTGCCAAAAAAAAAAAAA